GAGGCCGGGCAGGGCGCGATCCAAACGGACGGCCCGGCCGCCCTTCCCACCTTAACGGCACCGATTCTGGAGCAACGCGATTGCCCGTTCCCTCGGAAAGGCCTCTACATCATAGAGCGCGGCCAGCAGCGCCCGTTCCCCTCCTGTCCTCGCCAGCTGCCCGTCCCTGCCACCCTCTGGCTCTCCCACCGGGTCCCTGCGCCACGGGACTCTGCTTGCTGCCGCTCCGGACAAATCTACAGAGGAAACCTGGAAAGAAACTTACTCAGATTCAGTTAAAAAATACAACCACCATCTACCACGTTTGGGGTCTATGTTAAGTATTGCTTTGAAGGCTGGTTCATACATCAGCTTTAAATACATCAATTCCACACCATACAGATCAACATACAGATACAACATAAATTATTTTTGCATAGTTTTTCTTTATTACATAATTCTTCCTCCCGCCTCCAGAATATGACTTCTGGAGACAAAAGTTCCTCAACACTTAGGGACTACAGGCATTCCTGGACATGTATTAGTCATGTAATAAAATCATCTTCCAAAAAGTAAGACTGGAAATTAAACTAGCACTGATGAATTGCTGCTGTCCTTTTCTGCACCTTCACATATTTTCTCAAGATAAAAACCATAACCCTATTGTTTCAACATGTGAGATAAGATGAACTAAATGAGAGTATTTTCCATTTTATCAGCAGCCTTTATTTCCATGTAGTTTCTTCACCAGGCTTCAACTCTCTGTGTGGAAAGAAAAAATAGAGGAAAGTAAAATTATGGTAATTTTTGTAAAATAATAACTAATAAATGTAAATATTTATTCTACAATACCTTAATTTTGAGAGTTAAATATAAATTTAACTTTCCTTGAAATCATTGTCAGTTAAAAATCTTTCAATACTGATAAGCTTCCTCTTTTCTGTACAAAGCTTCAATGGATTTTGTCTTCGTAACTCCCATTCATTTAAATGGAAGCACAAAACAGCTGACCTCTAAGGACTTAACAGACTTTTTAAATAATGGAACCCAAAAGGAAAAATTCTACTTCTTTTAAAATCAAACCCTCATTATTTTAGTGGGAAGAGAACTAGGTGTGAAAGCAGAAGGTATTTTTGCAATATGCTGAAATACCAGTCCAACTTCACCAGCAAATCCAGTAAGAAAAGTACTAATGTAACAGTGGGGTGGATGATATCGGAAGCTTATCTTCTTTCTCTGAATTAATTTAGGTGAGACCAGAGTAAAAAAATATCCACCTGCAAGCTGATAATAACATTCCTACTATCAGTTCATCCTATGCAACATGATTCTTTTTTTCTGTTGTTACATTAACTCTATGGTCTAATATGGAATTAGAAGAACGGACATAGATGAAGCAATGCAACGCATTAAATTATCTAAACTCTCCCTGAGAAGTCAGCCAGGAAGCCCAAACTGATCACTGTATATAATCACGTCCTTCAGTGAAGATAGAGCAGTTGCCAATGTAAATGTTGTGTTTATTTTCAAAAACTTGGTCATTTTTAAATTACACAAATTTATAAAAGTATTTTGTTTAAAAGTTCTATGTTCATTTTAAATTTAAGGCAGAAATTTACTGTAAACCACTGAAAAGCTGAAAATTCAAATTCAAAGACTCCGTTTCCTGCTGAAATTCTGGAGAGGTAAAATAATGGTTCCCACATTTCATGACTAAGAACTTGACAGCAGCTAATGATCCTTTCTTTAATGACTAAAATTGATCCTAAAGCTCCAATTTTCAGATGGCATTAGTGACTTAAATCCCTTCATGAATGCCTGCTGAAATTTTAAAGGCTTTCTTCCCTTTAACATTTTGACTACTGATTTTTTTGCATACTTAAGACTCTCAAAAAGAACAGAGAAGCACTTTGCAAAATAAGTATATATATATATATATTAAGAAGCATCATAAAGCACACCTTCTATATAATAAGCTCTTGTTTCTGAAGGCAGATAGTTTTTCATCATTCTTTCTGTCCAAATAGCATCCAATCACAAATCCTAAGGGAACAAGGATGTGAACCCAGTGATCACGCACAGCTTGGGCGAAATTCACCATGGCTGCTAGAAAGAAGAGCGTAACAGATAAGAGTTACTGATAAATACGTACATGGAAACTGTTGTGTATCTGGCAGCTTTAACCCCACTTACGAGGATCCTACAACCCCCTAATAAACATAAGGGCCATCAAACCTATGAGACACATTAATGTTCTCAAATCCATACACAGGTTTCCTAGCAATAATCCTAACTAACTCCTGGCTCTGGGAAATTATCCTAAATTGGGAGGGAAACAGAGCATCTCTTTTAAGATACTCCTGGTGAAATAGTTCTGTTTAAATGTTCTAGAGTAATTTACCCATAAAGTAACCCAATACAGAAGTTTGCTGTTCTGCAAAACATTACAAATGCATTTGTAACCTTAACTCCAGTAGATGGATGCTTTATTATCTGTAACAAGACTGAAAGATAAGATGTACGATCAGTGGGGAACTGAGAGCTAAGGAAGAAAGGACATTTCTAAAATCCAACGAGTTTTTTCCAACGGAACCAAAGCCTTCCGGATTAGCATCTTGCTGGAGGGTATGATACACCAAGGAAGTCATATACCTCCGAGCTCGAAACTACAAAGAAATGAGAGAGGACAGCCACAAAGAAATGAGAGAGGACAGCCACAAAGAAATGAGAGAGGACAGCCACAAACAGCGCCATTCCCCTGACAACCGCAGCGGGCCGGCGGCTCACCACACACCCGAGGCGGGCCTGCCGGCCCTCAGTGTACCGACCCACGGGAGGGCCCTACCAGCGTCCCGGCTCCGCCGGGCGCGGAGAAACGCTGCCCCCGGCCTGCCTGGGACCCCCGCCCGTCCTCCGCACGGCCTATGCCCGCAGGGGCGAGAGCGCCATAACGCCCCGCGGCTGAGGGGCGCTCCCGCCCGGTCCCGGCCCCGTGTCCCG